CAGGCGAAACGTCAGGAGAAATGCCTCTAGAACATGGCCATATAGCCCGAAAAAACCCACAAGAACTTATTGAAATCTGTTACTACAGTCCAAGTAGCTTCCAGAATTTTGCAGTTGGGATCAGCTTGCGGAATATCATTTTTGTTCAGGACTTGCCAGTCAATTCCCAACCTAGGACATTTTTTTTCGTGTCAGAAGCAATTTGAGAAACTGCAAGTCGCTTCTGGTGTAAGAGAATTGGTCATCTGCAAGGATGTTGCCCAGGAGACACCCAGATGTTTTATCATCCTGTGGGAGGCTTCTCTCATGTCCCCATATGAGAAGCTGGAGCTGACAGATGGGAGCTCACCGCGCTCCCCTGATTCAAACTGCTGATCTTTTGGTCAGCAGGCTTGCTGGCACAAGGGTGGACATGAGTGCTGCACTTTCTTTGGGATTCCCAATATCCTTTGTTGGTAGTTAGGCTGATAATTAGGAAAACTGATGTCAGATTTCATCAACTTTATGACCAGCATTATCTACTCCCAGGGAACTGGAACAATCTCTAATAACATAGGATTTGGCCATCTCTGTGTTTTTTACTTTTCCCCTATTCTAACTAAAGCAGGTTTTTAAAAAGTCTGACATTTCAATAAGGCAACAATATTTTGCTGATAAAGAAGATTTTTTTGTTGTGCCAAATTTTTTGAAAAATAATTTCTATGCATTGTGTAATTCTGTGATGTTCCTGTTTGATATGCATGTTTTCTAGATGCATTTGTGATGTTTGTAGTATTGTTGACTATTGCTGCTATAAACATTTATTGTCATTAAATGGAGTTGGGGTGAGACATGGGATTGTTGACTGTGCAACTGTTCATGTCTATGTGTGACATTACTACTTGGGTCTTTGCTTTTGAATTCATTTATTTTGAGTCCCTACTCATGCCTTCTGTAGAAGGAAAATGATATGTTGAGGTGGACTGTTTGTATGTTACATTTTTGAGATGTGCTGTTATATGCATCCAGTTCAGAAATCCATATAATGAATTTGATAATGTAATATTTTGAGTTTGACTTTTTATTGTAGTTTACTTCTACTCAGGAGTATGTCCCATTTATTTCAATGGGATGTTTTCCAAGTAAGTGGGCATAGAAATGCAGCCTTAAAGAACCCCAACAACAAAACTCTTGGGATTTATAAACTTTGGTAGGTCACAGGAGTTCTCGTTATATGAATGAGAAAGCTTATTTATTTATCATGTCAGAAGTGAGTTGAGGGTACAGTTAAAATGCATTTTAAAACATAAACAAAGTTAAAAAATCTTGGCATTATGC